GTTTTCTACAAAGCAACAATCTGACTTAAAACTAGACAACAGGGTTATTCTTAGAAAAGGCAGGGCCTTTTCTATAAAATGAGCGATGGACTGTAGAAACAATCCTCCCTTTATTTGTAGGTATAGAGTTAACCGTGCAAGAGCGAATGCGGGACATGGGTGGGGAACCTTGTCTGCTCCCTCTATGGTCAGCCGTGTAAATTGCTAAAGGTCCTTTTAGCCAAGGGTTAAACCAATCTGGATAGTTAGATGTTTTAAGTGGATCTGATCGTGAGGTGGTCAGTGCTTTGTGTAGGTTAAGTGGGATGCACCTAAGATTTTCTTTTGCTCTGTTATAACTAGTAGGGATAGGATAAATTTGTCTGCCAAAGTTGGACAAGTGGTCATGAATGCTCACATTGATCGGGTTAAGTGAGGTGCACCTAAGAAAGAAATTGTTTATTTGTCGGAAAAAGAAAAGAGTGTTTGCTCTATTATAAATAGTAGAGATAGGATACATTTGTTTGCCAAAGATGGTCAAGTGGACAAGCGGTCATCAATGCTCATGTTGATCGGGTTAAGTAGGGTGCACCTAAGAAAGGAATTGTTTCCTTGACAGAAAAGAAGAAAGAAATTATTTGCTCATTTATAAGTAGTAGGGATATGATACATTTGTTTGCCAAAGATGGTCAAGTGGACACGTGATCATCAATGCTCACGTTGATCGGGTTAAATGGGGTGCACCTAAGAAAGAAATTGATTCTTTGTCCAGAAAAAGAGAGAAATTATTTGCTGTGTTACAAGTAGTAGAGATAGGGTACATTTGGTTGCCAAAGCTGGTCAAGTGGACAAGTGGTCATCAACGCTCACGTTGATAGGGTGCACCTAAGAAAGAAATTGTCTCTTTATCGAAAAAGAAAGAAAGAAATTATTCACGCTTTTATAAGTAGTAGATGGAATATATTTGTTTGCCAAATCTGGTCAAGTGGACAAGTCTCTCACATTGATAGGGTCAAGTGGGTTGCACCTAAGAAAAGAATTGTTTCTTTGTTGAAAAAAAGAAAGAAATTGTTCGCGCTTTTATAAGTAGTAGAAGTAGAGTACATTTGTTGCCAAAGCTGGTCAAGTGAACAAGTGGTCATCAACACTCATATTGATAGGGTTAAGTGGGGTGCACCTAAGAAAGAAATTGTTTCTTTGTCAAGAAAAAGAAAGAAATTGTTTGCTCTTTTATAAGTAGTAGAGATATGATACATTTGTTTGCCAAAGTTGGTCAAGTGGACAAGTGGTCACGAATACTCATGTTGATAGTGTTAAGTGGGCGCACGTAAGAAGGAAATTGCTTCCTTGCCCACAAATAATAATAAATATTACAGATGAGATACATTTGGTTGCCGGCCAAGTGGACAAGTGGTCATCAACCCATCGGGTTAAGTGGGCTGGACCTAAGAAAGAAATTGTTCCTTATCCATAAAAGAGAAAGAAATTGTTTGCTCTTTCACAAATAGTAGGGAATAGAATATATTCGCTTGCCAAAGCTGGTCTAGCGGACAAATGGTCATCAACCCTCGCGTGGATCCGACCCTTCACCCAGAAAAGATAAAAGGCTGTTCTTGACGAGTCTAGCAAGAGCACCTTTGATCTTCAACCACCACGAGCTGACGATGCATGCTGCATTCGGAGTGCCACGTAACACTAAACAGATCGTCGAGGGCATCGATCGTGGCCACGTCGCGCACGGCGTTTAGACCAGCCACGCGCGTGCCCACATGGCACCAAACATCTCCCTCAAGCTTCTTTTTTTAAAGACAAAGGTACCTGAAGGCTGAAGGCGCCATTTATTCATATTCAAACACGCCTTACATCCAGGATCGCGAAGTCCCTGTCCAGCTTAATTGAGGGAGCAACTCGGGACATGCATGGTTTCATATAGTAAGTACTACCTTCATTTTTAAAAATAGTAAGTACTACCTTCATTTTAAAATATAAGCTGTTGGGGCAGTTTAGAGGTAGTAGAACACACAACATAGATCACGAGATGCAAGGATGAAACTCGAAAGCTCTGTCAAGAAAAAAAAAGCTCTCTCTTCTTTTGGTAGAAAGAAACTCAGTCTCTTTATCGGTAATAGTAGCTAACGAAGTTCGCGGTAGATGGTGGCAAGCAACCATATATGATGACAGTTTTAGTTGAAAAACAAGATCAAAGGACGATGAAAGTTTTTAAGCAGAAATTGCCTTCTCAGAGAGAAGTGTCATGTCGCCCGAAGAAACTGCCACCTCTCCTCTCTCCCTCTCAACTAAAACTGCCATGCGACCGCTCACGTGTGCCATCTCCCTTGACGAACGTTCGCTAGGTATGAGGTCTCTCTTGATTACTACACGAACCCAGAAGAAAAATGCTCGACCCACCACCTTTGTGTTTCTCGACCCATCACCTCTGCCTTACCATCGCACACGCTTACTAGTACTATTATCTAGAGCAATGTTACACGCACATAGGTGTCCAGATTAATTGACATAGTTCATCAAGATCAGATGCAACGACGATCGAAAGCTCTGTGCCTCTGTCTCTTTATTGCTACACGAACCATGCACGCAGAAAATAGAAGCAAGTCGAGAACTTCAACACGGTTGGCTACGGCCGTACCGTGCATGCACGCTAACACAACGCAGGGGCAGAGCCTGCTTGCCGACGACGACCGTACGCACGTACTTGACCGAGCCATCAGGCGGAGGCGGCGAAGCCCTCCTCCTCCTCACCGGCAGCGTCCACGGCAGCGTCGGCGCATTGGGCATTGGTCCTGAAGCAGCTGAAGCGCCGGATCTCGCCCACGTTGCCCGCCGGCTTGGGCGCCCTGGCGAGCTTCTCCATGGACCTGGCGAACTGCCGGAAGAAGGCGTCCTTGCTCTGGGCGAACCGCTTCACGATGGCCGCCGTGGTCTTATTCTTGACGAGCGCCATGTCGGAGGTGAGCACGCCCTGGTTGAACCGCAGCGCCTTGTAGTAGCCGTTGTCGAACAGGTCGGGGGTGACCACGTCCAGATTCTGCAGCCGGTCCGGGTGCTTGCTGCAGTTGGCCGCCAGCTTCCGCGAGAAGGTGTCGTCCGCGCGCCGGTACCGGTCGGCGAAGCTGCCGCAGTGCGACCGCCCGATGGTGTGCGCGCCGGAGAGCGCCACGAGGTCGGCCACGTCGCCGAGGCCCCGGGTGCCGAAGGACTCCACCAGCGCGGCCACGCTGGCCGCAGGGCCGGTCCTGAAATTTTGGGGGCCCGGGACGAAACTATGATCCAGGGCCCTTCGAGGCCCTTAGTATAAATGCCTAATTAATAATCATCATATGTACGTATAATTTGTATTAAAGAAAATAATTAAGTGCATCCAAAATGATTGTGCATATCACATAATTTATTACATATTACCTTCAAAATTTTCTCCTAACATTCTGAGATATAAAATCACTAACGACAATATCAATATCAATTTCATCAAGCAAATTTTTCTGGATGCATAAAGTTGCCAAGCCATTTAACCTCTCTTGTGACATTGTAGATCTCAAGTAGTTCTTCAACAACTTCAACTTCAAAAAACTTCTTTCAGCTGATGCCATAGTAACAGGCATAGTAAAGAAAATCCGGTATTTAGTGTTTTCTTCTTCCCTTTTAGACCCCCTTTCCACTAATATGTCCCTCGCTTTGTTATCAAGATTACCCTAATTGCTTGGACCATAAATATCCACACTAATTGGTTCCTCATCAACACTAGTAGATCCTGCCGCAGATGAATTAAATATGGACTCATGGTCACTCACATTGCTATCATCCATGTTGACGTCAACATTGCCTTCTGTAGGAGTATGACCATCATCTTCCGGATTGCCATCAGTCTGGTCAACCACAAGAACTATCGCCAACTCGTCTGGATTAGTTGCCGTCAGGGCCGGTCCTGGGGAGGGGCGAACGGGGCGGCCGCCCCGGGCCCCCAAAAGCCAGGGGCCCCCTCCCAGGTATACGTACGTAGGTATACATACAAGCTTCGACAGGAAAAATTCTATCAGCGCCTCGCTCAGCTTCGCGTGCTAGCCTAGGAAAGTAAATACGTTGGGCCTGGCCCATGTTTGCACGTACTCACGTGGAGTCGTGGAGAACTGCAGATCGGAGAGGAAAAGGAATCGTTGCCTCGTTGGATTGATTTCCTGTAATTTAGGAATTAGCTTCGGTCTTTCCTCAAAAAAAAAGAGATTAGGATCGGTCGTTCCCTGCCTTTTTCCTGTTCCGCTGTTCCTGTTCGTCTAATCTCTTCGACTCTCCTCACGAACGAACGACGTGACGACTGCAGCAGGCCAGCAGCAGGATCTCTCATCTCTTCGACCGAACAAGTATGTCTCGGCGCGCTCTCTTCCCTCGCATGATCTTGGTCCAATTTCTTTTCTTTCTAATCCTGATTCCCAATTTCTCAATCAATCGAACAGATTAACAGGGAATTGTTTTTAGGGCGCTCAAATCATTGCACCCACGTTGCCAGATTAGATTGCAGAAAGAAGGTAGTATACCATGCCCTAGCAGATTCTCATTATATTAGATGATCTTTTGTACTTAATCTAATATTTTAATTAGCTTTGTGCTAATTTTGAAAGTGAATTGTTCCTTTCAATTTCAGCAGGGTCATGTCGAGTACAGGTAGAAAGTATTCATCTGGAAGTCATAAAAGAAAGAAAGAAGAAGGAGGCAGGTGAGGAGAAAGAATCATTAAGCGGATCTCTTTTTAAATATTATAAGAGCGATACGAGCACGGCAACTAATCCAGACGAGTTGGCGATAGTTCTTGTGGGTGACCAGACTGATGGCAATCCGGAAGATGATGGTCATACTCCTACAGAAGGCAATGTTGACGTCAACATGGATGATAGCAATGTGAGTGACCATGAGTCCATATTTAATTCATCTGCGGCAGGATCTACTAGTGTTGATGAGGAACCAATTAGTGTGGATATTTATGGTCCAAGCAATTAGGGTAATCTTGATAACAAAGCGAGGGACATATTAGTGGAAAGGGGGTCTAAAAGGGAAGAAGAAAACACTAAATACCGGATTTTCTTTACTATGCCTGTTACTATGGCATCAGCTGAAAGAAGTTTTTCGAAGTTGAAGTTGTTGAAGAACTACTTGAGATCTACAATGTCACAAGAGAGGTTAAATGGCTTGGCAACTTTATGCATCCAGAAAAATTTGCTTGATGAAATTGATATTGATATTGTCGTTAGTGATTTTATATCTCAGAATGTTAGGAGAAAATTTTGAAGGTAATATGTAATAAATTATGTGATATGCACAATCATTTTGGATGCACTTAATTATTTTCTTTAATACAAATTATACGTACATATGATGATTATTAATTAGGCATTTATACTAAGGGCCCCGAAGGGCCCCGGATCATAGTTTCGCCCCGGGCTCCCAAAATCTCAGGACCGGCCCTGGTTGCCGTGCTCGTATCGCTCTTATAATATTTAAAAAGAGATCCGCTTAATGCTTCTTTCTCCTCACCTACCTCCTTCTTCTTTCTTTCTTTTATGACTTCCAGATGAATACTTTCTACCTGTACTCGACATGACCCTGCTGAAATTGAAAGGAACAATTCACTTTCAAAATTAGCACAAAGCTAATTAAAATATTAGATTAAGTACAAAAGATCATCTAATATAATGAGAATCTGCTAGGGCATGGTATACTACCTTCTTTCTACAATCTAATCTGGCAACGTGGGTGCAATGATTTGAGCGCCCTAAAAACAATTCCCTGTTAATCTGTTCGATTGATTGAGAAATTGGGAATCAGGATTAGAAAGAAAAGAAATTGGACCAAGATCATGCGAGGGAAGAGAGCGCGCCGAGACATACTTGTTCGGTCGAAGAGATGAGAGATCCTGCTGCTGGCCTGCTGCAGTCGTCACGTCGTTCGTTCGTGAGGAGAGTCGAAGAGATTAGACGAACATGAACAGCGGAACAGGAAAAAGGCTGGGAACGACCGATCCTAATCTCTTTTTTTTTTTTGAGGAAAGACCGAAGCTAATTCCTAAATTACAGGAAATCAATCCAACGAGGCAACGATTCCTTTTCCTCTCCGATCTGCAGTTCTCCACGACTCCACGTGAGTACATGCAAACATGGGCCAGGCCCAACGTATTTACTTTCCTAGGCTAGCACGCGAAGCTGAGCGAGGCGCTGATAGAATTTTTCCTGTCGAAGCTTGTATGTATACCTACGTATGTATATCTGGGAGGGGGCCCCTGGCTTTTGGGGGCCCGGGGCGGCCGCCCCGTTCGCCCCTCCCCAGGACCGGCCCTGGCTGGCCGTCAGGGGCGACGGGAGGTTGGACACCTTGTCCCGTGACGCCGGGGCCAGGCTGTCGAGGTTGCCCTGCGGCACGGAGAACCAGGGCCCGCCGGACACGATGATACTATCGCGGGTGGCGAGCAGGGTGATGTCGGCGCATGACACAACGGATCCGCAGGTGGCGTGCACCCTGGCGCGGATGGACTCGATGAGCTGCATGGCGCGCGGCCGGATGGTGAGGTTGGGGAGCAGCGCCGTCTCGCGGGCGGAGGTGGTGTTGAGGAGGATGGAGGCGTCGCAGCCCTGCGGGAAGCAGTCGTGGAAGTAGAGCCGGAGCAGGCCCGCCGCCAGCGCCACCTCCTGCCGCAGCGCCGCCACCACGGACGACCGCACGACGCCGTCCAGCTGCGGACACGACGCGGCGTGGAAGCCCGGAGAGACGCCGACGTCGCCGGTGAAGACGGGAAGGGACATGGCCGGGGAGACCAGCGCGGCGACGGTGGCCAGGACGGCCAGTACTACTACTGAGCTGCTGGTCGCCATGGTTTCTTTGGTGCGGAGCTTGAGCTGAAGCTAGCTTGACTGGGCTTTGTGGCGTCCTCACGGCAACCAGTGGGCGTCATTTATAACGGGAACCAATCAATAAAACCGGGCGAGACGCAGAGCGTAGAAACAGCGGCAACAATCCGGGCTTAAGATCACGCACCAACTACTCCTTTCGTCTGTGAGCTGTAAATCTTGAAGTTTTATGTATCTGCATGTTCATTTCATTTCTGCGTGAGTTAGCATTGTGTAGGACCGATGCATTAGCAGATGTACGCCCGCGCAACGTAGTCAGCTGGAAGCATGTACTGAGGAGTGCCGAGGTGGCACTTGTGTGTGAGCCGAGTGGCTCGGTCAAGTGGCCCCAAGGGCCACTCAAGCCCCTTTTTTTTTATCACCGGCTCGAAAAAATCAGTCCAGTTGCGTCCATAGAAACCCAATTTTCACCGCTTAGGGCTGAAATTGGCGCCGGTGGACTCAGGGCGAACCCGGCGCGCTGGGGGCGGGGGGGGGGGACGTTTTTGGCGCGAAAGCTTGGTGGACCTGCTGAGTTAGCGACTGGGCGATGCCGAGAATCTTCGTCGTCCTCATCACCTCGGTTTCCCGCGGGAATCAATGCGAAGGCTGCCGCCGGTCAGCCTTCCATTGATTCACGGGCTCGCGACGCGGAGTAGACAGAGCGAAGGCGAGCAAGAGCCAGAAGATGCAGATCAGAGTCCTGCTGCCTTCCCAGCGGGGCCCATTGCTGCAAGAACAAGATGCATTTGTAGATTACGTCAGCAGGGTAAGAGGGGAACACACCCTCAATAGTAAACTTGTTATTAATATGCCACAAAGCCCACAACATGGCCGCCGCACTTGTCCACATAACACGACGCAAAGAACCTCTGGACCGAGGACAAAGATGACACAAGCTCGGGGCGGGAGCATGGATCCCAATCCACCCCCACGGCCTCATGGACCGCGCTCCAGGCAAAGCGCGCCAAAGAGCACCGGAAGAACACATGGTCAGCGTCTTCCGGGACACCACACAACGCACAAGGCCCGGAGGCCGGGCCATTGCGTTTGGCAATATTGATGGAAGTAGGTAGGCGGTCTTGGCAAAGTTGTCAGAGGAGCACCTTGATCTTGAGAGGAATACGAGCCTTCCAAAGCCCCGCGGCAGCCATAGGGACATGGCCTCGGGACAGCTCTCTATAAAGGGACTTGCCAGTAAATTTGCTAGAGCCCGAAAGCCTCCAGGACACTGTATCCGCGTTGTTCGACAAGCACACGTCCGCTATCTTAGCCCGAAGGCGATCCCAATCCTCCCTTTCTGGCCCCGAGAGCTCCCTTCTAAAGTGAATAGGGGGCGGGAAGGAGCTAAGAGCCGAAGCAACCAATTGGTTGGGCTGGACAGCGATGGAGTATAGTTGGCGGAATTCCGACCAAAGAGGATGTTGGCCTATCCATATGTCGAGCCAGAAACGCGTGGAGCGTCCATTATTAACCGAAAACCTCGCACCCCTGGCGAAGAACGGTTTTAGTGATTGGGTGGAGTTCCAGAAAGGTGATCCGTGGGCCGCTGCCTCAAAGAAATTCCCCTCCGGAAAGTATTTAGCACAGAGGAGATCCATCCAGAGGCCGGTCTCTCCCTGAGACAGCTTCCAAATCCACTTGCACATAAGTGCAATATTAATCAACTTAGAGTTGATGATCCCAAGGCCCCCCGGGCTTTAGGTCTACACACGGCCTGCCATTTAACCATGTGGTATTTACGCTTCTGTCCCGCTCCTTCCCAAAAGAAACGGGCCCGTGGGGTGTTCATTTTGGTGTGGACCCCGTCAGCCAGCAAGAACAGACCCATGGCATACATTGGCAGGGACAATAGGCTGGAACTTGTTAGGATGAGTCTAGCCCCTGAAGACATAAAACGACCTCTCCACGGGCAAACCCTGCCCGCCACCTTAGTGCTGAGAGGTTCCCAATCGGCAATCGAGCATTTTTTCTCTGTGATCGAGAGGCCGAGGTAGGTGAAAGGCAGTTTTCCCAGTTTGCAATTAAGCAAATAGGCTACCCGCAGGCTTTCGGCCGCATCCATCCCTATGGACACCACTTCACATTTGTGAAAATTTATTTTTAGCCCGGACATAAGCTTGAAACAAAGAAGAATGGCCTTTATCGTTGCGATACTGTGTAGGCCAGGCTCAAAGAGGAGAAGGGTGTCATCAGCGTATTGAAGGTGTGACACGCCTCCCGGGATCAGATTGCCAACCACTCCCCTGATATGGACCACAATACGAGCTTTGTCTAGCATAGCGCCCAGGGCGTCTGCCACAAAGTTAAAGAGCAATGGCGAGGCTGGGTCCCCTTGACGCAGCCCACGCTTGTTGTGGAAGAAGTTCCCTACTTCTCCATTCACCGTAATCGCTGTTTGGCCCCCCGAGACCAATTGCATCATGCGGTGAACCCAGAACGATGAAAATCCTCGGTCCAGGAGGACTTGTCGGAGAAACTCCCAGTTCACTATATCATACACCTTCTATTGTTGCTATCAAATAGATCACAAGTGAGGAAATAGTAGAAGCTAGTATAGGGAGTGCATGGCAGGAGAGAAAAATTAGATCAATTGTGAAATGCAATTGAAAATAGGAGACTTGGGGAAACAAAGTGGTATTGTAAAAAACGAGAGATTAGAAATCATGGGTAGTTGGGCATGCATAAATCTAAATCCACCAATCATACTGATTAATTGGCAACATTGACCTTGTCATTTTGATGTGAATCAATGTTTTATAGGACAATTATAACACGATCCCATCCTAGTTTTTTTCCGTGTAATGGGGACTATACAGTAGAACAAATCAGTGTTTGCAAATGTTTAAATTGCAAGCATGTGGCAAGCATTATGATTGCCACCTAAGCTAGTCAGATAAGTATCATGCGTGTGTAATATAACTGCTGAATTAAATAATCTAGCCAAGAATAATGATCAAAGTTGCAGAAGACCGTATCAATGTTGTGACCGTGTTATTCTATAAAGACCGTATCACTGGCGGCGACGAGGGGAGGAGACGTGCGGAGATGACCTAGTCCCGACGCCTAGGGTTCGCCCCTCAGTCACTCGCGGGAGTGATGCAAGGGGGAGGGGAGATGAGGTGGGCATGAGAGGAGGGATCCCGGTAGCGCTGGGTGACAGTGGTGGCGGCGCTAGGTGACCTTTCGCGAGGGTAGGGCTGGGTCGCGAGCCCCAGCCTTTCACCTATGCCTGCAACCAGTCTCGAGGACCTGATAAGGAAAAGGAGATTGGCAGCAATAACGAAAACCATGGATCAGATTTTCAATTCTTAGGAAGTGGTAAAGAACTACAGTGGTTTAGGTAATTTTTTATGTGATTGTTTTTATTAGATTAATTTGCTGCAACCCCTGACAATAAATGTACGAAATTTGTCAAATTTTGATTGACCTGACGATGGGCTTTGCTTCTTCAAACGCCAGTTGATCCGTAGACCATTTGATTTAATAAACAGTGTGTGTGTGTGTAGTTTTTTGTTGTTGTTGTCTCGATCCTCATGACCATGTTTTGGTTCGCCATATTGTCGCTATGTAGTTCTTCTTCCACCCCATCCTCGGTTATTGATACCAGGCTAATATTTATTTCTTCCCAAAAAGAGGCTCTCTCCGGGACTGCGTTTGGCAGGAAATGGATCACATATTGAAATTGAATCCGTTAAATTGGCAATAATCTACGCTAGGGAGGCTCCAGTTTTGTAGGAAACATAACACATATGTGTATGGACAAGAACGGAATACAAGAATATTTTTTTTGAGAATCCACCCTTACGGCACTTTATTCATTTGAGGGTGGAATCCAATTCGATTGTACATCGTCAATCAGAAACACAGAGTTTACATCGAACTAAGAAACTGAGAAGAGAGCGCTTTCAGAGTCAACGCCTCCCTATCTAGCACATGTATGAGCTACGAAATTTGCTATTCTACTCACAAAACACAACTTCAACTCCTACAGGTGTCCAGTACCCCCCTACCTCTTCCTACTATGTTCTGAAGGCTTCTCGTTGCTCTTGGAGTACTATGGCAACTTTGTTGATCGAGGGATTAGAGTAAACTTCAGAGCACCATGGGTGAGTCATCTCTTGTTCGCTGATGACAGTCTTATCTTCATCAAGGCGAATGCGGAGAGTGCAACAAGGTTGAATGAAATTCTAGAGATCTATGGGGAAGCTTCGGGACAATGTGTCAACAGGAGCAAAAGCTCGATCTTCTTCAGTCCCAACACACCCACATCTCTTAGACAAAGTTTGAAGCAAACACTAGGAGTTCCAGTTGAAGCTTTCTCAGAGCGTTACCTCGGCCTCCCGATGGCAGTTGGCAAAATCAACGGTGAAACACCTGAGTATTCGGGGGATAGATGTCAGTGTCAAAACTGTCGGATCTCGGGTAGGGGGTCCCGATCTATGCGTCTTAGGCTGATGGTAACAGGAAGCAAGGGACACAATGTTTACCCAGGTTCCGGCCCTCTCGATGGAGGTAAAACCCTACTTCCTGCTTGATTAATATTGAAGATATGTGGAATACAAGAGTAGATCTACCACGAGATCATAAAGGCTAAACCCTAAGAGCTAGCCTATGATGGTATGGTTGTAAATGTGATTGGCCTTCTAAGGACCATCCTCTCCGGTTTATATAGGCACCGGAGAGCTAGGGTTTACATGGAGTCGGTTACAAGGAAGGAAATATAATATCCGGATCGCCAAGCTTGTCTTCCACGCAAAGGAGAGTCCTATTCGGACATGAGCCGAAGTCTTGAGTCTTGTATCTTGACGCTTCTATAGTCCGGACGATGAATATAGTCCGGCTGTCCGGATACCCCCTTATCCAGGACTCCCTCAGTAGCCCCTGAACCAGGCTTCAATGACGATGAGTCCAGCGCGCAGTCTTGTCTTCGGCATTGCAAGGCGGGTTCCTCCTCCGAATACTCCAAAGTTGTTATTGAACAC